TTTTCACAGAAAATTCAAGTCCAGTTGCGGAATGAGGGTATGCTTTCTCTCCCGATTACCTAGCGAGCCAGTGCAGCCGAACACTACTCTGGTACACCTATGAGCAAGTCGGCTCATGTGAATGTTGAGCACTTGTGTGTGACTGCAAGTTTAAAAATATCTCGGCGCAGTTATCTTCAAGCTTATCCCGTTCGTGTAGCTGTTTCCTTTGATGTCAACAAGCAGACACTTCAGAACGTACAAATGGAATGTTGAACACAACAATTGTGTCACAATGCGTGAGATTAGCGAACTAGACTGCCTCTGTTGTGAATCTTGTCTTTTTTCGCTGTGAATATGGTTACATGATATTTGTAGTTGTACGGCAGTGAAGCGTCAGTGCCAACACTGCCTGATGATGGTGGTGGTGTTCTATGCGATATCGATTACTACTGAGTGGCAAGAGTTCAACTCCAGGGAGCTAAGTTGATGGCGCCATACGTTCAGCGCGTCATGGAATGCCGGCCTCTTCGCTGATAAATGTGCCAGTTCACAAATGAGTGATAACACGTCCATCACAGACAACTGAGCTCAGCATTCTAGATGGAGCGTGAAAAATCGATGACCGATTACAAAGACAACGAAGGTCGATGAACCTGTATCATCCGTTATGTTGGTGTTAGTTCTGTCCGATGCTAGTTGGTTTGTGGTCACGATGTGATTATGATCATTCGTATGTGTCCGAGCTCATTAGGTGGGACTAACCAAAGAGTGAAATAACCAGTGTTGTGCCTCGTTAGTTTCCTGAGGAATTAGTGTGGCTGTCGACATCAGTCCGATGACTTGTGCGTGCTCTATGTCATTACGGTTGTTGGTGTTGGTTGGTTACAAAGGCCTCGGTGCATAAATCCTATAAAAATCGCCGGATAACTAGATGATCTTCATGTATACACAGTCTTTGCGCGCCTTATAGGAAAACTAGTTTTTTGTCCTCCACGGCTTTTCAACATAGATTGAAATTTTAAAATCTCATACAATCATCAAAAATTGAGGAACAGTTTCAGATGCGATGAATATATTTGCCAGTTTTGCCACCGGACCGCGCAATGACACTTGCAGTGGTTAGAGCGCGAATTTACTGACCGGAAGGTCCGTGGTTCGAACTCGACCTCTGGCTCTCGAATTCCCCTGTCTAGGCTTGGGCGACCTGGCAGTATCCCAGCCCTCGTGCCTCCCTCGTGTGGCATAGCAGCTAGGCACCGAAAGGGTTCTACAGCTGAACGATTTTTACTTGCAGTAACTTTCAAATCATGTCCCTGTTGTATGCGAACAATTTCGGTATCCAAAGCTCATTGAAATTTCAAACTGCCGTTTTCTCAGTAGTTAGAGCACGAATTTACTGACCAGAAGGTCCGTGGTTCGAACCCAGCATTTGCCTCCCGACTTCGTCTGTCTAGGCTTGGGCAACCGGATAGTATCCCGGTCCTTATGCTTCCTTCGGGTGGCGTGGCAGCTAGGCACCGAAAGCTGAACGGTTATTGTTCCCCGTACAACATTTTTCTCTATTCTGTGTACATCTACATGGCGTAATCTCTCGGTCCAATTACCCCTCTTCCAAACCATATGAAACTGACGGATAACTCTGAACTTCTGAAGGTCCTGACTTGTTTTCAGGTTTGCGACGCAATACAAACTTCACTACAGTTTATGATTTGTGTACCGTAAACCGATGGTCGGGTGCATGACAATTTTCCTTATTTGAAACGTTACTTTCGAAGCCATGCTACTCGTCAACCTGCTTTCTGATTGAACTGAAAATACCACGAGTTCCGATTTCTACGCTATACTGTGGGTGGTACTTGTGTAACTGCAGCTGGTTGCAAACCTTACTTTTGGTCGTTGGCTTGTTTGTTGAGCTGGGTAATTTGGTTGCAAACGTTTCATCACTAATCGAGGTGATGAAACCACAGTCTTTGCGCGCCTTATAGGAAAACTAGTTTTTTGTCCTCCACGGCTTTTCAACATAGATTGAAATTTTAAAATCTCATACAATCATCAAAAATTGAGGAACAGTTTCAGATGCGATGAATATATTTGCCAGTTTTGCCACCGGACCGCGCAATGACACTTGCAGTGGTTAGAGCGCGAATTTACTGACCGGAAGGTCCGTGGTTCGAACTCGACCTCTGGCTCTCGAATTCCCCTGTCTAGGCTTGGGCGACCTGGCAGTATCCCAGCCCTCGTGCCTCCCTCGTGTGGCATAGCAGCTAGGCACCGAAAGGGTTCTACAGCTGAACGATTTTTACTTGCAGTAACTTTCAAATCATGTCCCTGTTGTATGCGAACAATTTCGGTATCCAAAGCTCATTGAAATTTCAAACTGCCGTTTTCTCAGTAGTTAGAGCACGAATTTACTGACCAGAAGGTCCGTGGTTCGAACCCAGCATTTGCCTCCCGACTTCGTCTGTCTAGGCTTGGGCAACCGGATAGTATCCCGGTCCTTATGCTTCCTTCGGGTGGCGTGGCAGCTAGGCACCGAAAGCTGAACGGTTATTGTTCCCCGTACAACATTTTTCTCTATTCTGTGTACATCTACATGGCGTAATCTCTCGGTCCAATTACCCCTCTTCCAAACCATATGAAACTGACGGATAACTCTGAACTTCTGAAGGTCCTGACTTGTTTTCAGGTTTGCGACGCAATACAAACTTCACTACAGTTTATGATTTGTGTACCGTAAACCGATGGTCGGGTGCATGACAATTTTCCTTATTTGAAACGTTACTTTCGAAGCCATGCTACTCGTCAACCTGCTTTCTGATTGAACTGAAAATACCACGAGTTCCGATTTCTACGCTATACTGTGGGTGGTACTTGTGTAACTGCAAACCTTACTTTTGGTCGTTGGCTTGTTTGTTGAGCTGGGTAATTTGGTTGCAAACGTTTCATCACTAATCGAGGTGATGAAACCGTTGGTGACGAAACGTTTGCAATCAAATTGCCCAGCATAGCGAACAAGCCAACGAACATCTACGCTGCTTGAGCTACCGATGTTTTCCTCTATGGGAAACCTTACTTTTGATTGTGTGGTACAATTACTTCAACATAGTTAGTAGTATGCGATTAATGCAGCAGATGTTTTTGACCAAGTGGCGATGACAAGCATGAGAGCCCCACCTATGTGTCCTCTACATTTGGGCCCGCTGTCATTAGCAACACGCTGGTTGATAAAGGGGCTTCTTAATTTAGTGGAACCATAGCTGGTGGAAAATATTTTGTAAATATGGATGGCTGTCTCATACGTGGAATTGGCATGCTAAGACTGGCTGGTGATGACAATGCAGACATCCTGGTCCCTGAAGCAGTTTTCGGAGATATCAGGTTTGTGGGAGACACTGCTGTTCGCACCACTTTGTGGACTAGACTTTCTAGTGAACATGATGCCACAGCGTGGTGTGCATCACAGCCATTGGAAAACCGACGTTTGTGACGTAATGTCACAAATCAGTGGATGTGTTATTTCACCCCTTAAGGCTATCACGGGATTTGGACTTGCCACAAACGCATTATTTATCGATCAACTCCGAAATGTTCATGTGGAAAACAGGGGTTCCACTGTATTTTCGACAAAGTACACCAGGATCATATTATCACCACGTTGAATCGCGTGTATTCCCCATCGTGAGATTTTCCAAGTCCCAGCGGTTCTATCGCCAGGACAGGACGAACATGCTTATCTGGCATGATTTCTCTCATTAGGTTGACGCATATTTCACTCACCTTCACTTAAATACCGTTATGGAAGCGAGCTCTGAATCTTCCCAAAACTTCATCATAGGTTTGATTAGACGATTTAGATTTTGGGTGTGAAAATGTCCGTCTTGTGCCGAGAAAAGTAGTGAATAGAATGACACAGCCAACATCTATCGCTTCCTGCCCGCTTCACCCACCTCTTCCCCCGGTTTTTATCACAACCCTTACTTAATATGCGGGTCCTTAAGCAAGTTGACCAAGAAAACTGTCCAGAGGCCCATCCTTGACAAATTATCGATGGACTTTTGCTGCATTTCTGGGAACTCACTTTGGAGATTTAAACACCGTAGTTGAGCATGGGGCATCTTTATCAATCAAAGTGGAAACTTCCGAACTTCGTACGATTCTGATGCTCTTGTAGCAGACTCCTTCAGCTTTACTGTAGGTACCGACTGTCAAACCGAGCCCTAGTTTCTTGAGTAGATTCTCCCAAACAGCCGTCTTTGTGTCGTTAGTTTGTCAACTGCCATAGAAACTCACGATACCCAAAATAACATCCGTTCCTTTCTAGTTTCTCTAGTTTCTTATTCAGTGGAAGATGCATTTTCAGGGTACTAATCAACATCCAGCATACCCGGAGGTCCCAGTCTGATCCCCTCACAAAGCGACTTGTTGACTCGATACCTAGTGATAATGGGGATCGTATTTTATAGCTTTGTACCGACTCCAGACCCGTTGGACGCCACTACTGACAACCTTTCTCCAGCATCGACATCTATTTGAGTCATGTTCATGACCAGTCCAAATTTTCGAGAAATTCCCATGGAAAACCTAGGAAACATACTTTTCATCTAGTCGTCGGACAAATCATTTTAAGTCACCAATTAAACAAACTTCGAGTCACCAAAAGATGTTAGTCACAATTGGTACAAGATAGGCACTGCCAAACTTATGATAGGAAATCCATTATGTTGTTTCTAGGTGCCTACCAAACGGAATGTTTTCTTTTTTTATGACACAGCATAGTCCAGACCAAAGGTCTGTTAGACATCAAGTAAAATTCGCATACAGACGGATAAATGTGGTGGAATCAGAAGGCGCTGGAAATGGAGGATGCGAGCAGTGTTGCGGAGCTGTTTTACATCACACACAAAGTCATCCATCAGCTGTACGGACCGCATACTTGCCGTACAGTGTTTCTAGATGTCACAATTTCATTCACCGCTTATTTGGGGAGGTGGGGTAGGTAGATTCAAGAAATCGGCTGTTAATGAGATCCTGGAAGTCTAATATGCGTCTAAATAGCTGAGCTTAAGGTTTCCAAAAGGGGTTTACCACTGTAACTGTATCTTTCACATGACCATTTCGACCCAAGCTGTCTTGTCGGGATTTGGAATCTTTCAGAACCTTTCACTCTTTCTATCTGCCCTCAAATGCTTTCGCGTGGTGGAGCCAAACTAGCTTCAGCGGCGCTGTTCAGAACTGGCGGTAGTTCTTTGTGCTCTGTCTATAATGCACTGCTTGGCCTTGGAAGGGGATTCTCAATCGGTCATTGTATTCTTTCAAAGCGAAGCGATCCCTTCAATCATATAAATATGAACGCTACTCTACTTGTGATACTATTGTTGGCTCTAGCGGTACTACACGCTTAAACTCTACGTCAGTCAGGATGTGGTGTCAACCATATCTTCACATTCACTCAAGGGATGGGGCAGCGCCATACATCGCCGACTTGATGGGACGGTCTGATAAGCGGTCCCCGTAGGGGGTGGTCGTTTTACAGGGGTGTATTTTCCCCGATGACTCGGTGGTTAACGTGCGAACCGGAAGGTCCGTAGTTCGAACCGAATCTCTGCATCTTGGCTTCCCCTGTCTAGGCTTAGGCAACCTGGCAATGCATCAACGCCCATACTTCCTTCGCGTGGCATGGCAGTTAAATACCGGAAGAATATCGCAGCTGAACGATTCTTATTGATTGATTTACTTGTTCCCCAGTGTAGTTTTTTCTATTGTCTGCCCCCTCGAATTTCCCTGTAGGGATACTTACTTCTTTTTTATCTGCCGTTTCCTTGGTCATGTCCTATTTTCACCCGTGATCTTTATCCCCATTTCGTTCGTCTCAGGGCGTTGCAACCACCCGGCTGGCATCCTGATTGGCATGTGGGGCTCCGTGTGAATAAAAGCGAGAAACTCGTGGGTTTCATTGCAGCAATCCCATGCAATCTGCAAATTTACGAAAAGTACGTTTTCCCGCCGACTTATCATATTCGTCATGAACTTCCACTCGCCTGTCATATAATGTCCATAGGAAGGCGTCAACCTACTTTGCATTTGGGGATTTTCTAGTTTCGTTTGTAAGACGTATTTGGATATTTATTCTCTTAGCTGCGATGATGAACCTTCACGATATCAGCAATTTTAGGTTTACGCCCTTCTCTCCAAAGTCTGGGATATTACACCTTACACTTTTGTCCCCATTTTCATTTCCCAGGAGCAAACAACTCGTGGAAATTAACTTCCTATGTGTTCACAAGAAACTCCGCTCCAAACGGATGGCACCCGTCCTCATTCGCGAAGTTACACGGCGTGTACATCTTCGTGGTTTATTTCAAGCTCTCTACACCAGTGGAGCATTACTGCCGAAACCTGTGGTTACCTGCCGGTATTTTTTATGTATTTTTCTTGGTCCATTTTTGTAGGACACCATACTACTCATTACTGGGCAACACACCAAACGTTTTCCCGTCCACGTTTTCGATACATCACCTCAACTTGGAGAGTGAGGCTCCAGTATAAACTGCCAATGCTTAGCGCTCATTTTCAGGTGGGTGGCTAGTCTGTGCACCTACAAGGTCTAGGCCTCAGACTGGCTAGATGTTCCTGGTTCCAGAAAAGAAGGAATTCGGCGGTGGCTTCGAGCATTTGCAAGTGCTCATCTCTCCTCTGAGTCATTGAACTACTGGTTCGTATGGTCCCCCATTACCATGACCACTGTCGATCGATGTCATTTTTTCTACGTGCCTGTGAATTTTTACCAGCCTTCTGATGATCTTTTTTGTCTCTCTCTAGTTACTGGCATCGTCCTTTGAATCCAAGGAAGCTACTTGAATGCGGCTTCTCCCACCTAACCCGAAACATGACATTGCAGCGAACAATTAAACTGTATCGTTTACCGGAAGCCACAATGGTTAAAGGATTCCGACAGCTTGTCAAAGCCGACATCCCTCAAGTTTGGACTCTTGTTTCCAAGGTGTGTGGTGTCATGTGTTTCCAAGAGCTGGTGTCTTGGCAGGTCGAAATAGAAACACGGTTGTTCTCAAGGAATTTAAAATAAGCCTCTATCTGGTCTCACTGTCTGGTTGCTTCTTTCGAGTTGAACATGGTGTTTGGAATGCACATTTGGTCAATTTGGTGATGATTAGAGCTCTCACCGACGTTTCTTGGCTACAATTTACCTGGAGTATAATGTCTAAACGGAGTAGATGTCCAGCTGCTGTGACTGTTGTGACGGGCTTTTGAAATCTTCATATTATTGTGATCCGCTTTATTCTCCCATTCAAGCTTCTGTCTCTTCACGTATATAACTACGTTTTCCCTTGCTGAGAACAGGACCGAGTTGTCAAGCCGTACCCACAGTGGGGTGATAGGTGTGATAATAGCTAAAGACGTTTCATCGCAAGATCTCGGAGAGCTCGAAAAACGAGTCACGCAACCCTTTCGAGGTTTGGTGTTGGTTTCTGTGTTGGCTAAGTTGAAACACAAACGCACTCACTTGTATTACTGTAAAACTTTGCAGCAACGTGCTTTTTGCTAATCTAAATTTTGTTCCATTTCTCAACTTTCGCCTACATTTTAATCGGTTGGCTTTCCAAAATTAATGCCACTGAATCCGGACTCATTAGTATTATTTTTTGAATGGGCGTGGAAAACCCCAACTTCGTCGTCAGTGGTTTGGGGGACTCGTTCGTATCTCTTTAACGTCTCTCCTGGTTTGAGAAGATGGTTTTCCTCGGACTGAATAGCGCGGGAATGTGCCGGTTAACTCAATGAAACATCGTAGAAATGAAATATAACATTAGTTACATCGGTGTCTTTTTGTTTTTGCGGGCGACTTGTTTGTTTCCGATCCACAGATTGCGATTCTCCTTCTCTTCATGCGTCTTTTATACCAATCACAGTTCTTGGCGCAATATAAACTGCATCCCAATTACTCCCAAGATGAATTCGAACACTTCTTTCTCCCGCGAGAAGATATTGTGAACTCTTTTGTGGTCGAGGTAAGTCATATCACTGCTTTCAGTGCGTTCAGTCATCTCAGAAATGTAGTGTAGAGTCTTGAAGCATTAAATTCACCTTTTGAGGCCCTCCACGTCACCTGTCAGCTTCGTCACTGAGTATGACTGGTGGATTCACTCTCCGGTTGCATATATCAAAGCCGGTATTATCTATCCATCATTTGGCTTATACAGGTATGACACAGGAGCCAGGGCCATCTGAGCTTAAACTAGATCAAGTGCCCGCTGACAGAGGCTTCAGAATAAGAAGCCACACGATTGCCGACAAGATGCATAAATACGGCTTTCTGACCAGTCAAGCTCCAGAATAATCGAAGTGCAATATTTTCTGAAGGTTTGTGCTGATAGGAAGCGTGTACATGCGTATTACAATCATACATTGGTTCCCATTTTGTTTGTCAGTTATGTGGGTTCGGACTTGCCAACTTCACAATTGCCCGAAGATTACTTCGGTGGGTAGCCGAGCTGAACAGGCGTCGAATTTTAGGATGGTTCTAACTTAGCGCTTGGCGGGGCATTGTTCAAGGCGTTTAGCACCATAAACTATGGACACTTTTTCGTAAATGAAACTACTCACAAGGTCGCTTAAAATTCTTCGACAGCCCACTACCAGTTTAACCCCTCTGTGGGCACATCAGGTAGGCGCAATGCCCGAATTTCCATCAACCTCATGTTCTACCCGAAACCAAATTAAACAGATTTCGACAAATACACTCGTTTGTCTATGAATTTGGTTCTTACTGAATGTCAAATTGATCTCTCATTTTTTGTTATTCTTCAACTGAACGTGCTGTGCAGAGGCCACCTAATTTTCCAGTTCATACGATATTCGAGATACTGCAGTATGTTTTAATGAAGGAGACTATTCAACAGGTTGCTGAAAAATTTTCGAAAGCCGTGGGCTATCGAGTCTTTCACGAAGACCGAATTGGTATACAGATGAGTGTATAAGTCGAATTTCGTGTAATTTGAGTTCAAGTAAACATGAGGTCTACCCGAAACCAAATTAAACAGATTTCGACAAATACACTCGTTTGTCTATGAATTTGGTTCTTACTGAATGTCAAATTGATCTCTCATTTTTTGCGGGCGGTATCTCAAATATTATACGAACTGAAACATGAGGCGACCTTTGTTCAACACATTCAGTTGAAGACTACCATAGAAAACAAGAGCGAAGAAGAATTGAGTCTTCCGTGAAAAAATCGCAATATGAGCACTTTTTCTGGTTACTTAATCAAAAGTTCCGGTCCTAACTTGTTCGACTTGGTTGCCCTTGCTACGGACTTGATTGTTCTGTACGGCTGCAAAGAGTTTCGTTCAAGTGCAAGTATAGTTCATAGAGTGCGAACTTGTTTTTCTTCCGTTTCGCTTCTGTAAGAGGAACCGTTTTGTTCAGTCTGTAATAGTACTGTAATAGTACCCCAAGGCCTTACCGAATATCGCAAGATGCTAGAATGCACATCTGTGGGAACAATGCCGACCGGAAACCAACGACTCTCGACACACTCCCCTGCATTCGTTTTTAGATCATCCCCCCTTCACAATTACTCTTTACGGGGACAACTACGCATCTTTTGTTAATTTTGGTATACTTAGCTCTATGGCATCTGATTGTCTAATCTTCCTGCCTCTTTGTGTTCAGAACGACGAAAAGGTGATCACCGACTTCTGTTCCTATTACGTATTGCCCAGTTCGGTCATGAAAAGTCAGCAACACTCCACACTTCGAGCTGCTTATTCATTCTATAATGCAGCGACAGTTACCCCTTGGCCAGCACTGATCCAGGACATGCTGATAGTAGCGAAGCAGGCAAGTTCAACACATTTCCCCTTTTTGGTATTCATTCATGTCATGTTCGTCACTAACGTACCTCCTCTGTGTTTTGTTTTCAGTTGAAGTTTGACGTGTTCAATGCATTGGATTTGATGGAAAACAAAAAGTTCCTGGAGGAATTAAAATTTGGCATTGGCGACGGAAATTTACACTACTACCTGTACAACTGGCGGTGTCCGGTCGCCGAACCCCATGAGGTAGGTGTGGTCCTACTGTCCGATTGTTTACGCTTTGAACCTAGGTGATTATTCCAAAAGTTTTCAGCCTGTTGACAGCACTGCCAATTTGGTCTCCATGCTAACACACTTGTATCCTGGATAAGAGAAGATAAGATAATCATTTATCTGTAACACCATTTTGCCATGCCACCCGAGGGAAGCATGAGGGCTGGAATACTGCCAGGTTGCTGAAGCCTAGACAGGGAAGTCGAGAGTCAGAGGTCGGGTTCTAGGTAGTAAATTAGCGCTTTAACCACAGCCTTCTCGTCCTTAGGTCATGCGACAGCTCCACACCTCTCGAATTTCCGAAGATAATGACTTATTTCCACTATGTACCGTATGTCCTTTAACTGGAGGCGGATGAAGGTAACAAGTGTTCGGGAATCACATACTCACAAACGGCGGCAGCTGTTGTATCCTCGATATCTGCTATCGCATAGGTCTCTCATACACGAGATCATTAAGCAACGCGCTGCCACACAGAGAATTCGCTATCGTGGATGATCCCAAGATTCGTTCCAAAGCCTATCGTTCCACTGATATTTTTGTTGATGTACCTTGTTTCCAAAACAACGACGTACTGACACCATTGGTCTGTTCTGAACGGTCTTGAGGTGCTAATCTGCACTTTTCACACTAAATTAAATTAAAATGCTAAATTAACGTTATTAACCTTACACCTTCATTGACCGACTTTGGTTTACCTGACTCTTTTTATTGCCATTTTGTTTTCCAGGTTGCTATGGTACTTCAGTGATAAAATCGCTACCTCCCCTCCCACTTTATCGATTGACTGTAACATACTTGTTTTTCATCCGTAGTAATCAACCAAATAATTACCCGCCCCTCTGATTCGCCTCAATACCATCCAGACACCTTGTCCATCAACCTCTAGACTGGTTATCCACTTGAACAAGGATTATGTGTTCCTCACCGGTCCGAGTAGTGTTCATTCAATTCATACACTGCTTCTAGCTTGTGTTCGTTCATCTCTTCTCCCTGCCGCCCTCCAAATGCAGTACTGTAATGCGAAAGTGTTCCCCACGGACCAGATCCTTTTTTGAGGTTCACAGTCGTCTTTCTTTTGTCAATAAAATTTCATTCGCTGATCCATCGAGAGTGGTTTTGCCTATGTCGTGAGGAGGATATGGTGTTGTTCTGGTACCTGGTTTAGTACCTGAAGTGCGGCACCTTCTGTCATGCCAACGACTCTCTCCTAGGACTTTCCTTGGAATCAGATAATCAGTGTCTTGGGGCTATCAACATAAGTGCCCATAAATTTTCATTTTGTAGTTGATTGTGCTTGGCTGTGCCATGGTGACGAACGCCACGTCAATGCCGTGAGGGTATCACAACCCTTCTCTGAATCCAGGATCCCCTAAACGGGAGCGAAGAATGCTTCAGAGATAGGGGCAGGGACCTTTGGTTCCACTAGTGCTTGAGTCGTTTATTGGGGTTGCAGATTGCTATTAGAAAAGTTGAAACGTATGTACATCTGTACGATACAGCTGAATTCAGCTACCCCAACGAGCCTGAATTCTCCTTAAGTTCACAAGAAGCCTTGGAGAGACTCGTACAACTCTCTATACCTTTATGTATATTCAATTATATTGATGGCTCAGAGCTGTACACTAAAATGACTCGTCTTCTGAATGCTCCGATTCGAAGCATCTATCCTCCTTTAGATTAGTTGCTTGCGTTGGGAGTTTCACAAAATTATTGATGGGGAAATCATACAGACATGATATAGTTTCGGTTGTGGTTCTCGACAGCTATAGAGCGGCTTCTAGGATGACAATAAGGACGATCATTTCCATCCCAATTTGTTTTTAATTAACTTGAGAAGTTCGCATTATAAATAAACATGTAAATAATCAGGTGAAAGTGCTCGGTCAGGTCGAAATTTCGCAGACAGTCTTCGAATACGTCAGGGCAGTGAAAGTCAGAAATAGATGTATAGTGGAATGCCAGACGTAGTTTGTTTGACCGTTTGTCTCTGAGTTTTAGGCACCCCACTGGTGAGTGAACACCAGTTTTACCGAGTTGGAACAGACAACATTCCAGACGCTCCGCGTACTACCGCTTCAAGGGCCTGATGGACCCAAACTGGAAAGCTGGTCTTTCAAAACTGACTGGATATTCGAATAAGCCAGGAGAAGCAGTCGAAAGGAAGCGTGGTGTGCGGCGTGAGACAAACACTTGAGCTTATTCAGAACCGACTTTGTGCACTCGGTACTCATGGTGGAAGGGAAGGGCGATCCAACATTTGCGAACAAACTGTACTGGAAGCAGGCAAGACTGATGCCTATCTTAACTGTGGGTAGTCTACCACGTACGTCCACTCAGCAACGATTAATGTGCGCCTGTGGGTGGAACTAAAGCAAACCGTGCAGGCGAATTTCAGCAAGAGTCTGGACCTCAGGGCTGAATTGTTGCTGAAGCAGCTGACAAACAACTACAGTGTGTGTCCCAGTTTTAAGGTTTGCTGGTTCACAAAGGCTGTTCATAGTTATCCCACTAGGAAGCCTTTCGGTGATCTTGACACATCGAATCATTTGGCTTGGGAGGCTGCAAAATGTGTATAGCTTAGTTGAATCAGTATTTTGGAAAGATTTGAAAGCACAATAACTGCGGAGGTAGGGCATTCGAATGTCACTAGCCGACTTGAGTGATCATCAACAAAGGAGACCGTTTGGGAAGATGGGTCTTTCGACTCGTCCTGAAAGTAGGAAATTGTTGCCTACAACGGGTGGTAGCCTACGCAAGAAGTCTTCATAATCTATTCGGAGCTGTTCAGAAGGCCATCTTTTTGAGGAGCTTATCGAGGCCAGTCGGAGTATTTGCATTGTATTCGCCTGCCATGAAGAAACGTTTCATCGACCCAACATGAAATGTCGGAAATGGAACATAGTACGAATCTTTCCAAAATATCGTAGGCGGTGTTTTATGTAAACCGTGAGTTTTTATCTTTGATATTTGTGTTTATGCCACAAAAGAGCGTATTCCCTGTCGATCGATATTTCAACACACGGAACAAACCTTACCGTTCACTTCACGCACGTGACTTTTTGAATCCTGGCAAATGAGTCTTTTGATCTGAAAATTAATGAGAAGTTCCGAGATATACCTCAGATGTTGTTGACTGAAACGACTAATCGTATGACCTGATTTCAAGCCCTATTTATCGCATACGGAAATTCGGGTTACCATTTAGTAGAACGAATTAGAATGAACTGACCGTTCGATTTGGACTTTTAGGGAGGAGGGGATTATCAGAGTGACCTAGATTTAGCCATATATTAAATTATCCTGCTTGATCTGTTGGCCATCCGAATAGTCTCTTGTTGAATTGTATCGACCAGGTGCAGAATCCTTTTCCATTCGCAGTTCCTACATGTTTTGTTGTTTCAAAAGTAATCAGTTGGAGCCTACAATTGTACCGAGCGAATGGTTAAAATCCGTAATCAGTAGTACCTTTTTGTGATATTGGTAGACCTGAGTATTGGTCCTCAGCTCCTGTGCTAAGTGCGAATTACGACCATGAACTAGTAAAATTCAGCACGAAGTTGAACTTTAGCACTACACGAAAGCTGTGCATCTCGGTAATTATCCGGCTGTCGTACGTGACTCGTTTTAGCACTCCGGCTTCATTGCTTTCAGTCGACGTTGCGCCTGTGAGCTACTCCAACGATTATTGAACGAATTCGTGTGGCCAAAGTTGAGTCTGGTCCGTTGCTTGGCAACAATTTATCCAAATTGCTTACGGCGTTTACATGATAGGTGACTACTAATTCTGTTGCAGTGGGAATGCACATTTCATCCAAATTACTCCCTGCCTGACTTTGGTAGGCTTTCTTCCTTGGGAGAGGGGTGTTGGGAGTTGTAAGGGCCACCGAAGTCGTCCCTTGGATGGAAACTTCCCTTATTGGATAAATTCTCATTTGGACGCCTGACGTGCATGAGGCTGTATTCGCCCCCTTCCATCTTGGGGCTTAGCACAAAATGTTGCATTCTGCCTGAAAGGTCTTGTTATGCAGGTTGAACAGTAAAGTTCAAGAGAAGGCCAGAAATGAAGTCGCTTGACCCACGTTTACATGCAACTGTAAGAGCGAGACACCAAGATGATCATAATCATCATCATCATCAGAACGGCAAGAAGACAATGACGGCAGTTGGAGATGAGTTGGAGATTCTCATATGCGATTTGGTCCTGCCAGTGAAACCAGTCTACGCTAAAAGGCTGACAAACACACCACTGTTCATTTATTACATCCCTATTTGGAATCGTCATCGGTCGGCGTCTCAGGAAACTCAGGGTTTCGAATTGTGACATTCCGGGCTGTCGGTTGAACATCTATGCGAGAGCTAATCGCAGAGCCGTTCAGCCGCTGGACAGCTAGAATATTGTGGGTTCAGAGTTCCGAGTTTCCTGAAATGCACATTGCTGATGGTTGCCAACAAAGATGTACAGTGCTTCTCGGCTTTTCAGCATAGATCAGCCTCAATAACAGAACGAGTTTTCAGCTGAAAATTACAGAAGTGTGAATTTTGACATTGAGATAGACCGTTCATCGTAAGGCCCCTATCGGATGTCAGATGTGTGAACCAGGTAACAAGACTAATTTCCCATTGGCATAGTTCCGAATTCTTACCACTGATGGTCACTTTTTTTGAGAGGGGGGGTCGTTTAATTTTGCAGGATTCTCTCAAACAATGGGAAGTTACAGCTCTGCGAGCTGGACATGAACCAGCGAATACGCTCACCCTCTCTGAAATTCAGAGTTTGGATCGGCTTCAATGTTTCAACCCACTAGGGATCTCGGTGGGCCCTGCATGTGTCATGTTCGGATGCCGATCGCTTAGAGGCTTTAGGTTGTCTCCCAGCAATAAAACCACACAGTTCCTGATGGCATAGTACACTATTGAGGCTTCCTTTTCAGAACTAGTACCCTTCCTAAATTTCGTTTCATTTGCATATTCCTCGACTAAAGTTTTGCTTCAAAGACTGCCTTGTTTTTAATCAAAATGTGTAATTTTTCAATACAGCGTCAAACGGTTTTGTGATGTTTTTTATTCTCAATTAGTTCTTCAGAACCAGGCGGTCACAATTTCGTCCAACCATATCAAATGAGAGACCACAAAAACATGTACTCATTATTTTTGCCTTCAAGGTGTTTTTCTACTTAGAAACTTTCTTTTACGACTATTGGAGAAGCAGCACCTGTGCATCATATTAAAACAGTAGCGGGTAACCAGGCAGAAGGGATCAGATCCGGTCATTCAGACTAAAGAACACCGTGTCCTCCTTTTCATACGAATGTTTTCTGCCTCTATGCACTCTTAAAGTTCACCTGTCTTGACAACATGTAGTGAATCTTGTCCAATAAAGCAAGTTTCATTAAGTTTGGGTATGAAGACATTTTGGGTTCCAACTGTTTATTTGTACCTCCTTGAAGTGACAATTATGGGCTAACACTTGGGTATACTGATGGATTGAGAACAGAACTCTTCTGTTCGCTGTCGGATCTTGTTACTTTTGGGTTTCATTTTCGTGCATACGCGGCCTAGCGCAAATAGTGTGTGGCGCTACCCAATGGCCATTTGCATTGTTCTGTGCTATATGCAAATCCGGGGGTGGAAGCAGATGCAGTGAGTTGCACTTTCACATTCGTCGAACAAAAACATCAAATCGGCCAGCTCTTACAGCTACTTGATGTGTAAGCGTCCTTCAAACCGGGGGAAGCATGTAGCCTGATTGTGATATTGCCCACCGAGGCAAGGTAGTTAGTTGGCTACAACCGAATTCAAACGGTGGAAATATTGATCATATTGATCAAAAATTGTCATTATTTGCTTGGGGGGCCTTTGAATGTTTCCTTATTTACGACTATTGGCCCGTCTTGCAACCGGGTTTTTCGCTTGCTCTTCTTATGATGTCCGGTCTTTGCTACTCAGAATTCAGTCAAATCAACAGGGTGGCTTTTAGGGCCATATGGTTCCGATCCAATCTACTGCCGAATCAAACTACAAACAATTTCAAACGGTATCGTTTTCCTATTCCCTGCAGGGGACAACACGTGACTCCACCACCTACACGACGGTTTGTTGTGGT